CATTGGTGGCAATTATAATGCAAAACGGGGGAGAAAGGTGGGATGGAGAGAGAATAGCAAGAAAGTGATGAAAAGATAAAACATGATTACCACTCTTTACCCTAAACAATCCAAATGTGCAAATGAGAAATTGCATGTTTATTTATGACACCCTAAGTACCTTCTTATAATTATGATGAATTAAGCAGTTATTTTTTATCACGTTTTCAAATAAGTTAGCAATTGTATAGACTAACTTGCTTATTAAGTACATCAATATGATTTGAATATTAAGATTCTAAAAAAATACTCCCTCTATTTAAAAATATAAAGTATTTTTTAAGGACTTGAATGTTTAAAAATATAAAATATTTTTAATCTTTTGAGGTATAATCATTATTTTTTTTAAAGTGTTCTTATTAATGAATGATTTTATATTTTATTGTAGGATGTTTAATAGGGGTAAATATAAAAAGATAAAGTTGGTTTAAAAATAAGTAACTACTTTATTGAATATGAGATTCAGTTAAAAACACTTTACATTTTTTAACGAAAGGAGTATCTTAACATGTGGAGACCTTTTATTTGTTGATATAATTAGGGGTGTTCACGGGACGGGACGGGATCGGGACACCCCCGTCCTGTGTCCTGTCCTGAAGAAAAGATCGGGACTGAATTTTGGTCCCGTGTTTCGTCCCGTTCCGTTAAGAGTTGGGACGGGATCGGGACAAGATCGGGACGTCTCGCCGTCCCAATAAATAAAATAGTATCGAAAAAAATTTGAATAATAACGTTTATTAAAATTTTAAATCATATAATTTATTAAGTTTAAAATCAAAACAACATAAGTACATAAATAATAATAATTTAAAATTAATTATTAAATTATATTAATCACAACTATACACTATAATAACAAATACATGTGATCTTTATCCTATAAGATTAGCAACAATAGGCAAGTCAAATATAACATCAAATTATTGTTCTTCTACTTTAGTGAAGATGTGCTAAGCTAATTACTCTTCTAAAAATAAAGCAAGAAATACGTTATAAATAAAAGTTATTAAATAGATAGATAGATAGAAGAATAAATTATATTAATATAATTAATATATTATAAAGAAAAATATCGCCATGTTTACTCTATGCCATTAAAATTATCAATATAAAAAAATTTTAGTTTTAAATAAGAATTGCAAGTATTAAATTATAATTGATATAATTAATATAAGTATAAATTATATTAATATAATTAATATATTTAAAATAAAAAATAGTATATATAATATTCGAGACGGGACGTCTCGATGGTAATCCCGTGTCCCATCCCGTCCCGAACCCCTTTCCCGTCCCGTCCCGTAAAGTTCTGTTCCGATATGATTGGGACGATACCGGATCAATCAAGATGGGTCTAGATTGAATACCCCTAGATCTAATTTAGTTTCTGTTCTTCTTGCACAATTTTTGTTACAGCCTTTCTTACACAAAAAAAAAACCTTGAGTAGCTATTTAATGGTAAAATATGAAATAATCCTAAAAGTAGCGATAATAAAATTTAACTAAATTTAATTAATCTAAAAGATAATCTAAACACCCTCAAAAGTGATTTAAATAAAATATTAATGCATTGGTTCATCCAATGATTTAATTATGTGGCGTGTATATATTATTCACGAGTCATAGATATTGTCACTTGCATTTTTTTTTTTCAGAAAATTAACACTTGATGGGATAGGGGCAAATTTGGGATTTCAAATAGCCTAGTGGAGAAGAATGAGGGGAAAAAGGGAAAACCAGGCAGAGGGTGAGAGACACGTAATAAGCTTGGAGGGTAAGCGGAGTGTAAAATAGAAACATAATATCAGTGGGCCACTAGCAAGGTTGGATCTGTGCTGGTTTCTCAAAAAACAATAAATAAATGTTCGAATCTTTATTAAAAAAATATATACATATTTAATATTTAATTATATTTTAAATAAAATTATTTCTAATAAAAAATAATTATAAAGAAGAAAAAGTAATAAAAAGCTAAAATGGGGCTATTTTTTAAATATAAATTAATATAATATTAGGTTTGATAAAAGTATGGGGCTCTGAGTGCTGACATGCATAACACAAATGTCTTATAATCCCATAAAATAATAATCCAAATCCAAAGCCCCTCAACCAATGCTTTTATAATCGAACAGGATGCTAAATTAAAATGATCAATGATTTATGATTTTCATGTTTCAATTAAATTAGATCAATGATCAAATCGGTAATGTAATAATTAAATTAAAAAAATTATACATGTATATGATAATTTAAATATAAAAAATAAATATAAAATTATTACTCAATTTAAAAAAAAACAAATATTTTAAGTTTATTATAATTTAACAAGCCACGTGATGTTATATAATATCAGGTAATTAAAAAAATTGATCATTTCCTAAAAAAATTTGATAAAAAAAATAAAAGAGTTTTTTTTTAACAGTGCGGTTCTTGGTTTGACTGCTAGTCTGAAATGAACTAACTCGGCTCAACCCTCAAAATAGTTTTTACATATTGACTAAATTGAAGTCTAGATCAATCGACGGTTGGATCGATCTCACCATTCAGTCCAGTCTGGTTCGATTTTCAAATTACTGCCCTCAACCCTCCTTCCTTCTCCCTTTTGACCAATATACCCTTCAGATTCTATTTTCTAATCCCATCCTCGTTTCTGAATCATAGATTTCTAATCTCAGCTTTATTTTTCTCCTTTTTACATCACCATTAACAATATAAATTATAAACTTTTTTCATAAGTCAGTTATGAATAACATGATTTGTTTCTTAAATTTTATACGAGTAACAAAAGCTCACTTTTATGTAGTTCAGGCAAATGTACAATTTGAAAAGTAGTAAACATGATGGACCAAAAGTCCAATAAAAAAACAACTATTTATAAGCGATGCTTTGTATCATGTCTATATATTAGAGACTCCGTCTAATTTATAAAAAATATATCAAATTCAGAAAAACATACAGAAAGAATGAACATTGCAATACTTTTGCAACTAAAGTATGCCTTTTTTTTTGGGGGGGGGGCGCAGAATTATAGTTCTATTTGCAAAATTTCCCCATTGAACAGTGAGATTTCGGTCCATACCAATTTTTTTTTTTAAATATCAGTAGAAGACATTGGTTCTTGATTAGCATTTTCAAATTTTAGGCTCTTGGGTCTTAGCCCTCATCGTTCTTTAAAAAGTAAAAAAGCCCCAAAGTAACATCCTCCTTTTTCTTTTAATCTCACTTTAAGAAATAGTCTTCACATTACATCCTTCAGATCGATGTTTCAGGTTAACTCAAGAACCTCTTATTGGATTGAGAATTTATGATCCTTCGGGAGAGAGAAAACACAGGAGTAGAGTTCCAATCAAACTTTAAGAATTTCAAATAAAATTCATTTTACATTTTTTGCATCATTTAATAGAAATAAAAATGAAGGTACTTTTTTGTGTGTGCTGCAAATCAATGGTTTAGATTCTTTATATTTTGGCCATCAACTTACCGTTGTCACAATTATGTGAATTACTCCCTTGATCTTAAATTATAAAATATTTTTAAATAAAATTTTATATATTAATAAATTTTATTAAATATATTTAATAATCTTATCTTTTGAAAAAATATAAACTTTAAAAAATATGCATAATTTAATTATATTGAAAAGAGAAGGGACGAAAATTAATTATAAGAAGAGAATAATAATATTAAAATTAATACATTCAATAAAACTTTAATTTACTCAAAATATTTTATATTTTGAGATAGAAAAATTCTTTTAAAAATATCATAGAATTATCCACGGAAGGAGTGTTATAGAGTTAGTGACCAAAAAGAAAAAGAAATCGTTAGCTCGTCTCCTATCAACAATGTCTCCTTTTTTTGGGGGGAAGGGGCAAAATAAAACGTGTGTCATGCTCAAATGGAAATTACCTTTATTCTTTTGCTACACACATTATTGCGCTAACAAAACTAGAAAAACGGACAAATCATTTCAATTTCATAAGTCAACAGGTACCCTGAATAGAGTTAGTTCTGATATTTGTTCATCTGTCTCATTTTAAAATAATAAAACTATACCTGTTAGGGATATTCAAAAATCAAACCCTTAAATAGTGATTTAAATTTTTAAAAAACAGCAATGTGATCCAATCCAATCAATCTAGTTTTTTTTGTCACTTCTAATCCGTTCATCATTTGGAACGATGTTTTTTATTTTTTGGGGGAATATAGTTTCTAATTTTTGAACTTTTCTTCAACTATCAATCCACTTTTTTAATTTAAACTCGAAACAATGTGATCCTTGCAATTTCTTAATTTTAAATAGTTTAGCCTTTAAGTTTTCTTTTGCATGTGCACTCAGTATCTTGAATCATGTGAATCTCAATTAATTCAAATTGAGCCAAGTTAGACCACAAGGTGGAGGTAACAAATATATTTGAATGACTAATTAATATAGTTGTATATCCAAAAATTAAAATCCAATATCTTTGATTTAGTTAACATAGCTCAGAGTTAGCTGAGATATGCGGCTGCCGGATATTGGTAATCCTTTAAGTTTTTTTGACTTGATATGACTTGATTTTTATATTCCTTTAACTTTATAAATTGCAGAATTTAAATTGTATTAAGTCAAAGTTTAAAGTTTAAATTAATAATTAAGATTAAATTTAAAGACTAAAAATATTATTATTCTTATTTTTTATCAAGCTATTGCTTTTTTAAAAAAATGAATATTTGAAATTTAAGTATTTCCATAAATCTGTCAATATTTTACTTTTTCTATTATGAGATTTGAGATATGAAAAAAAAGTTGAAACGATATAAAAACAAAAGGGTTTAAAAAGAAAACCATGAACCGCCCCCCCCCTTTTTTATTTTTTTTTTTCTTTTCCGTTCTTCCCCGTTTTAACTTTCTTTGGCCTCTTGCTTTGCAAGACACAGTGAGACAGAAAAAGAAGACAAAAGCTGACCCCACGTCTTTCCATGGCTACGCACTTATTACAATCCCACCTCCTTCCCCGCTCAAAGTAACCTTATTACTGTCCATACCAAAGGCACACTTCTCTACTGATGAAGAATCATTTGTTCACTCTCGGTCTGCTTTTGTAAGATTCCACAAAATCTCTGTGATCGAGTACCTAAACGGTTAAGCCCCGAAGAATTAAGAACAGAACCGGTGTGCTACTTTGTGGTGATTAGAAGGGGAAAAACAAAAGGGGCCAAAAAAAAAAACAGAGTAGGCGTTTCAGAGATAGATCAGAAAGGAAAGTAGGAGAGGCTGAAGAAAGGTATAATAGTGCGAGAGAGAGAATTAGAGAAACAAAGAAGAAAGAGAGAAAAATGGTGGGCTCAGGAGGATCAATATCAGATAGAAGCAAAGAAGCTGTTGGGATGATGGCACTTCATGAGGCCCTCAGAAGCGTCTGTCTCAACTCAGATTGGACTTATTCTGTCTTCTGGACCATACGTCCTCGCCCGTATATGCTTTTCTCTGTGTGTGTGTGTGTGTGTGTGTGTGTGTTAGATTTTGTTTTCTCTGTTTTTTCTCTGCTAGGAAACATTATTTGGAACGTGTTTTCTCAACTGGGGATTCTCCGTTTCTTGCAGAAGACTCAGAGGTGGTAATGGATGCAAGGCTGTGGACGATAACGGCAGCTTGTAAGTGTGGTTTCCTGGTTTCTCTCACACCCTCTGTTTGGATGCTAAGAAAATTCTCTGTGCCTTTGTACAACTGTATGATCACTTTCTCAGCATCCAAACAGAGTTTACAGTATTTGCAACGGAAACACAGCAACGAAACTCTGAAAATTTAAGCTGTTTTTCACTCTGGGTGTCCTTTGGACTTTGCAGTAACGAGAAAACAGGAAGAAAAAACATAGAATTTTCAGATACTCTGTGATCTTCTCACTCAGCAGCCAACCAAAGTTTTAAGTTTTTGCCTGGGAAAACAGAACAGCAAAAGATTCGAAATTTAAACAGTTTTCTTTTCTAATCCTGGGTGTTGTTTGAGTTAGAAATTTCATGTACTAACATGCAATTTTCGTTCGGATTCATGGAAGGATGTTGATGTGGGAAGATGGGTTCTGTCGTGGAAGAATCTCAGATTATCTGGAAGACATTAACAACGGAGAAGAAGATCCTGTCAGAAAAGCATTCAGCAAAATGTCAATCCAGTTATATAATTATGGAGAAGGGTGGGTACTGGGTAGGTGCTTATTATTTTCTTGGTTCCATCTTTTCTGGATCTTCCTCTCGTCTTCAACGCTCACTGAGCTGCTATAGACATCATTATATATATATATATATATATATCAAACCTTAAAAACCAATATAGTATTATTGTGGTTTGAACATATGTGGGAAACTGGTCTGTTTATTGTTCTCTGCACTATTATTTCTGATTAGGTGATTAAATTAAGTGTTTGAATTGAAACAGGCTGATGGGCAAGGTAGCATCTGATAAGTGTCACAAATGGGTATTCAAAGAAGCCTCAGGAAGTGAACCAAACGTGTCCAATTACTGGCAGAGTTCGTTTGATGCTGTATGAACCAAACCAAATTAACGTGAAGAAGTTCATCCATTCCGTTCTGATTTCTTTTTGTTTGTTTTTATTTTGGGTTTCTAAAACTTATCCAAGATCTTGACTTTGAACAATCAGAATGTGGCGTTAAATTTGGCTTTTTTCCCCCTATTGATTGATGACTGACCCTACTTCATTTGTCTTTTTCATGATATTGATTAATTGCAGCTTCCACCAGAATGGACTGACCAGTTTGAATCAGGTATCCAGGTCAGAATCAGATAATCAACGTTCAGTTTTGCCATTACAGGCCACAGAACGATCATCACCATCATAATTATTATTATTTTAGTTCTTTTAATTGTTTTGGCATTTTTTATTTCAATTTTATCAGACAATCGCTGTGATTCAAGCTGGGCATGGACTCCTGCAGCTTGGTTCTTGCAAGATTGTGAGTACATTACTTTGCTTATCTATTTGCACAATCTGCCTTTGATATCATTTTTAAGGAAATGCTCTGGACAAGATTGGTGCATTATCATTCATCCTATATTTTGGATTCAAGGAAATATGATATTTCAAATGGATGTTTTTGGAATGCAAGTGTCTTGTTAGTTTCATATACAGCTAGTATACTAGTATTAGCATATCTCATATGGTATTAGTCTATTAGATATCTCAAGGTATAACCTAACAATATATATTTTGTATATTTATATTTGGTGGCAGTACAAAAAGTCAAAGAAAACAATGTTTTTGAAATTACGGTTTATGTCCTTATAACTATAACGTTGCGACAAAATTAGTGCGTGTGTGTGTCAATTTTTAAGTATGATAATATACTTGCATCCACATCACAACGCAAGATTATCATCTATCAACTATACATATAATATTAAAACATAACAGATTGAACAGTGTTCAAGAAAATAATAAAATCAGATTGACTCATCATGTTGTCGGGTTGCAAGGTACTACAAGGTTTCTCTTTCTTTTATTATTATTGTTATTATTGTTGTTTTGGCACATTTTTTCTTTTCCATGATCTCGTGAGTTGGAATCCACTGTTTGACCCATTTCCATTTTGTGCGGAGCTGGTCCCCATATAATCCGTTTTAATTTGTTTAATTTTTTATGATTTTCGATGTTGATTACCAACAAGCACACATTATTTATCAAATCATATTAGTAGTATCAATAATTAGAGAATTATATATTAATTAAAATATAGTAAAGTGCAAGATTTTTCTACTATTTTGTATACGTTACTTTATCGTATCTCGAAACATTGGAATTCTCAATGCAGAATATTGATGAGGGACATAGAGCATGAGGACATTTTCAGTGTATATGTATATACATCTATGAATGCTGGGCTCTAACGGGACAGCAAGAGCATAAAGTTGGAGTAGCAGAGATGAGAATGTTACGATGGATGTGCGGACATACACGTAAAGATAAAATTCGAAATGAGCACATACGTGAAAAAGTGAGGGTGGCACCTATTGAGGAAAAAATGGTAGAAAATCGGTTGAGATGGTTTGGGCATGTACAAAGAAGACCAAGGGAGGCACCAGTGAGAAGAGTGGAACATATAACTTTGAGTCCGATTAAAAGAGGTAGAGGAAGGCCTAAGAGAACACTCTTGGAAGTTGTTGAACGTGATCTCTTAATTAATAATATTTCTAAAAGCTTAATAAATGATAGAGCACAATGGCGTCTTGCAATCCATGTAGCCGACCCCACCTAGTGGGATAAAGGCTTGTTGTTGTTGTTGTTGTATGTATATACATCTATGATCGAAACAAAACGCAAAGACATGATCAAAATGCTCAACCCTACTTTACTGATAAATTATACTATGAATTTGTGATGCATGGCTTGTAATGTGTGTGACGTGATTAATTAGATTGCTGAAGATCTTCATTTCGTTTTGAGAATGAGACACACGTTCGAGTCTCTAGGATACCAATCTGGGTTTTATCTCTCCCACCTCTTCTCTTCAACCAGAAACCCTTCCTCCTCCGCCTCTGCTGTCGCCACTGCCATTCATTCGCCGCCTTCTCTCCTTAATTGGTCCCACCATCGGCCGCCACTCCTCCCTCCTGCAACCACTTCCATTATCTCCTCTCCCGCCAACTTTCACAGAGACCAGACCCACCTTTTCCTCCATAACCATCTCTTTGATCAACCCCTGCCGATTGGAGGGCATGAAAATGACCTTGGATGGCAGGATGGGTTGTCGTTTCTCAACCCAGACTCGAACCCTAGTACTGCAAGTGAGTTCTTGAGCTCTGATGGCACGAAGCATGAGAGGAAGACGAACAAGTTCAAGAGGAGCCTTACTTTACCTTCAAGAATAATGGCTTTGTCTTCTTCTTCGTCGTCTTCTCAACATCAGCTACAGCAACAGCAACAGCAGCAACCTGTGGCTTACAGGAAATCTGAAGAAGGGCCATACCAGGATGTGATTGGGAACTTTTTGGAATAATGGTGAAGGGGAAAAGAGGGTAATTGATTCACAACATAATGATGAGATTGATGATGAGGATCTAGGTTGTATCTCAACGTAATTGCTTTTGGTGGTGTTTTTTTTTTTTTTTTGGCTTTCTCTTTTTTCATGTGTTTGGCTTTTCACTTTGTTGTTTTGTCCCTTGTGTTTCTTTCTTTTCGTTTCTTGATTATTAGTGAGACTTTATGAATGATAATTTCTTTTTAGCTCTATACAAGGTTCAAATGTTGGCCCTTTTCATACACTTGAAGTTGAATGGATAGTCATGACCAGTTAAAAGATAAAAGGAGAACAATCATTTGGCTATAATCTTTTTGATAGGTTTATGATCAGAAATGGCCTGAAAACAAGAGGGATGACAAATGACTAGGAATAATGCACGGGCATTACATGTTAACTCAAAAACTTGGAACTCAAATTTTTAGGTTTTTTTTTCTTTATTTTTATACTAGTTATTAAATCTAATTTTATTTAATATAGAATTTCTTTTATGAATTCAAATCCACTCACTAGCCGACAGGGCTGGTTTGAAGAAGGTGCATATGATAGAGTGAAGGAATGATGAACCTAATTTGCTCGAATGAAGAAAGGAAGTGGTGGTGTGTGAACTAGTGAGTAGTAGATGCCAACTAAACCTAGCTAGCTTGTGATGAACAAATGGTAATGATGGTGTTACCGAGTTTGATGAAGAAATAATTATGTGGGTTTTGGAAAAATCAAAGATAAGATATGCTTCATCATAATGTCACTACATAGCCTCCAAGCTGTACGTTGATTACTCAATCTTTGTTCATCTCCGTTATCCAATCAAGTTACTCATTCATTTTTGTCACCTTCCTTTGTTCTCTCCAAAGCAATCCAAATAAAGAATTCCACTTACCACATGCCTTTTCCTATATTGATTAATATCATGGGTTCTAATATTCATGTACTGCTCCTGTCTCTATCATAAAATACTTTCAATTATTTTTTATTATAATTGAGAAATGATAGTTACGTAATTAAATATATCTTAAAATGAAAAAAAAGTCAACTTTACCCTATCAAAAATATGAAGAGAGAGGTACATAGTATACAATGAGCCATGAATTAAATTTTTTTAATAAGGATAAAATTAAAAAATGATAATAAATAATCCTTCATGGTGACTTATATTAAAAACCAAATTTTTTTTCTGAAAGGTGCATTATAATAGGAACCAGAGAGAATATGTTAATGGATAATTTAAAGATCCAAAGAGAATATGTTAATGGATAATTTAAAGATCCAACCAGAACACATGTTTTAAAAATGGAAAAATTAATCTACAAGTCCTTCTGATTTTTCTCTATTTTAAATTTGATCCCTATAATTTATTTTATTTTAATCAAGCTCTTATAATTTTATCAATTAAATGTATAAGTCCTTGAATTATAAAATTATAAATGAATGATTGAATTTTTCAAAATAAAAACATTTTTTAAAATTTATAGAAAAAACAATTTAATATTTTCATATAAAAACTTATAGTTTGATCGATTAAATGTATTACTCCTTGAAAGGTAAAATTACTAATGAATGATTGACTTTTTTAAAAACAAAAAAAACTTTTACAATTGGTAGAAAAAGTGGTTTGATATTTTTAGCCAAATTTTTTTATTTAATATAATACTTATATTTTTATTAATTTCTTCTGAAAACTCCATATATTTAAAAGTTATTTAGAAAATATAACATAATTATATAAATTTTGAATTATAAAAATTTTGAAATTAATTCTAAAGATATATAATATTTTGATAAACAAATAGAACCCCTTAATTTCATTTTTTAAAAGAGAAAATTAAAGGATTTTAATAATCAGGGACTAACATATTTAATCTACAAACTATAAGGACTTTATTAAAATAAAATAAACTACAAGGACCTAATTCAAAATCATATGAAACTATAAGAACCTTTAGATTAATTTTTTTTTTAAAAAATTAAAGGAGAGATTTATATAATCTCAACAAAATGCATAATGCTGTGCATTTTCTTTCTCTTTTTATTACCAATATAGCTTTACTTAAATTCAAGTCTTTTTCTTTTTCTCATTTTATTTCCTTTTATATATACGTTATCTGTATTTGATCTTTCATAAAAAAAAATCAAGTTTTTTGATTAATTCCCAGCACAAATTCTTAAGTCTTTTTTGATAATCAATTCTGATCCATAGGCCAAAAAAAAAAAAAAACTGGCTCCCCCTCTGTTTCAAAGAACCCAGCAGCTGTAAATTCTTGGTGTAGTTTTGAATGAGGAATCAAAGGCTCCTAACTCCAAAGTTCAAATATGTTAAATAAAATAGAGAATATGATTAGATAAAAGACCTCTTGATTGATAAGCTCGTTAATCAACAAGACAAAGTGTGGCCTGCAAAAATATTTGGTCGCTTATTTCACAAGAATCATTGGTCCCATTTGAGCTCTTTCTTCATGGGACCACCTCTTTTCAATTTAACCCAATTATTTGTCAACTTTCTGCAAAGCTGCAAAGCACTCTTAAAGATGAGATGATTTTTTTAATAAAAAACGATTTAATGATAAACGTCTTTTTTATCCATAAATAAAAAAGAATAAAAAGGTACTGTTGAGTAATGATCACAAGGGTATGAATAATAAATATTTAAAATTGCATATCTTTTTCTTCCTAAATCTTATGACGAACTCCCTTTTCAATTTTTCATATTTTTTTATTACTTATAAATATTTTTCTATTAAAGGTAAATGCTGTTTGATATAAGATTAGGTATTCAATGTGGATATTTTTTAAGAATGTATTAAAACTTTAGTTCACTGAACTAATATTTTCTGTTAAACCCAGCCTCTGTCTAGGTTTTCATTTTTTTTTCAAATCACTTTAGTTTCTAGCTTCTGGGTTGAGAAAGATCCAAATAGAAACTATTGGGTTTGTATATTGGGCTGATAAGTCCATACTTACCGAGGCCCGATATTATATGATTGTTTCACTTTTAAGCGATTATTGCATGTGTATGGAAATGTCTCAGAACAAGTTTTTAAAAGTCTCGCCCAAATAACAGTCAAACAACTAAATCCATATTTTTAGGCTCTGCTTGGTGGAGGTATTTAGTGGGCTTAATCCTTATTGTTAGCCCGTTTGCATAGAGAAGAACCAATAATCTTTATCCGAAAATAAAAAAAAAAAAATTCTTGATGGAGATTGGAGAGAAACAAGCTGAAGACTGGGGAGATAATATTGGAATTAAAAGACATTATATTTTAACATTATTCTCAATAATATAAAAATAAATAGTTTAAACTGAAAAAGCTACAACTGGGGATTCTATGCCAACAGTTTCATATGTGATTATTTAAATTATTTTTTTAAAGTCAAAATTACTCAATATAAATTAATTCATTTTATTTTAAAAATCTCATCCATAGTATTCAAAAGGTATTATGGTGGAGAAAATTTGACAAATGATGAAAAGACTTAAAATTGGATCTGAGTCGGATCCAATGCATTGGATGCTGTTTGTAACATTCCAAGGAGAACATATACTTGAAAATTTGTCATAAAATCAAAACTATAACGTTTATTGATTTCCCTTTTTTGGGGTCCATAAGTTTCTAATTTTTTTGTTGCTCTATCTAAATTTAAATGGTTCTACTTAAAATATATATTTTTGTAGTGTCGAATTAGGGTATCACATATGAGGATGTAGAGATCATAGATGCATGGTTGTAAAAAATAAAGATCAAATCAATAATTACCATACATAGGAAAACGTTGGCATGGCATCTACTAAAAAACGATGACAGAAAATCATTCTGATTCAGAGTTTTTTTAACAGGGGGGAATCTGATAGCAGCACAGAATATGTACTAGGGAAAAAGACGTGGCTATCAAAAAAGGATCTTTTAGTGAAGGTTATATTCAAAAGGAAAAATGGCACCTAAGAGCCTTACCAAAAAAATTAACATCTAATATTCAATATATTAAGATTTTATTCTACAAGCCAAAAGACCCAACATACAAATATATTTTCTAATTAAAAGATTCATTTACACCTCATTTGACAAAAAAACAACACCATACATAGAATATTGTATTGTTAATGTACCGACTTTGACATACTATATACAAACATTCTGTTGTTTATATGCCCGAGAATTTTATATATTATAGTTCAACTAAACCATATAGATTATATAAGTATGCATAATAGATAGATATTATGTTGTCAATATATAAATTTTGTCATTCAAGCAGACCATGCAAATTATATGTAGTGAAAAGCCATCGTATTATTAATATATGGATCTTGTTATTTTATATACGGACATTCTGTTGTATACATTATACTTGTGTGTTTTAAATGAAGGATGAATGAGTTTTTTTATTAAAAAATATATTTGTATATAAGACATTTGGGTTTATGAGAAAAATTCAGAATGTATTAGATTTTAAGTGCAATTTTTTTTTATTTAGGACCGTAGGTGCCATTTTCCCTATTTAAAATCTCTCATCATTATATGATATGGTAATTAAAGAATATTTTGGCATAAAAAAGTCAATATGTGAAGGGTCGAGAGAATGTGAAATGTCATAAATGAAATGTTAATAAAAACCAACCCAAAGTATATCTATTGTGAACGTCGAAGGCTTGAATCTTACGATTTGGCAAAAAAAAGAAAAAAAAAAAGAAAAGAAAGAAAGAAAGAAAGAAAGAAACAAACACTCCGATTAAGCACCAATTTGAACGACAATCTGTTTAGAAGTCAATATTGCTTTTTTGCTTTCACTCTTATTCTAATTTCACCTTCCAAATCCAATTTCCTTCAGGCTTATCTGTCATCAAATTATCACAGAACGTCAATATAAAATATCAAAAGTGTAGCCAATTTGATGTTAGTAAGTGAACTATAAATAATATGTATTTAACATCCTATTAAGTTTTAATCTGACTTTAAAATTATATACATGTGTTTTTCATAAGAAGGATAAACATCTTTCATGGCTAGAATTTATCAATCACATTGTGAGTAACTAACTATTCTTCTTAAATTAACTTTTATTGTCGTTCTCAATCTTTTTATACAAGAGATAAAATCAATATTTAAAAAGCTACACCCTCCAATCCAAAATTAAATATATTTTAAATATAATTTATACATCAATAACATTTTCATTTTTATGAAAATATACATTAATTTTTTACTTTTAATTCAAATTTATAATGAGTGAAAAAATGTTATAAATTTATATAATACACAAAAATGTAGGTTAATAAATACAAAGGATAAAATGAAATTTTTTTACAAGTATTAAATTAAATTATTTATATTTTAAATTAAAATTAAATTAAAAAATGTTTATATTTTGAATTGGATGTTATAAATTCTTACTATGCGTTTTTAAATTTAAAAAAATAGAATTTTAAATTCTTACATTTTAATTAAGTTTTGTTATAGATCCATAAAACATTAAAAAGAATGAGAACCTAAAACATTTAAAAAAGTATCAAAATTTATAATAAAATTTAAGTAAAGTTTAGATTCAAAATTATGTTTTTTAAAAAAAGTTTTAAATTATATTTTTTTGTTTGGTAACAAAAAAAACTACTCCTTCTTTTAAAAAATATAAAGTATTTTTAATTGAATCTTACCTCCTAATAACATAGTTACTTATTTTTTAACTAATTCTATCTTTTTATATTTACTTAAACACCCCATAATAAATATAAAGTCATTATTAATAGGGGTATTTTTTTAAAAAAATAATAATTACATCTTAAAAAATTAAAAATATTTTATATTTTTAAATATTTAATTTTTTTAAAAATATTTTATATTTTTAAATGGGAGGATTATATTATTATTTTTAAAATAATAAAATTAGGAAGAGAGAGACACATAGAGGGTCTAATGAATTAAAAGGAGGTTTAGGCCCAAAAAAAAAAAAAATAATAATAAAAGGAGAAGAGTGACGACGTGTCATGACGCGAACGGGTCCGATCCATCATCATTCATAGTTCGGATTTGGGACTTGGGATAGAGAGAGAGTGTCGTCGTGTCAACGAAATAATACTGGTCATCTTCCGTTCTGCACACTCGTCTCTCCCTCGTTCCTTCGCCCCTCTCTTTTGCTTCCTGTTCCTTCTATTCCTTGTCCCTGTCTCCGCCTCGATCTGCACAGCAAGTCGCCTCTATTCCCACATCACATACCCTCCTCCTCTCCTGTATATATACACCCCAAGCTTTCCTGCCATGGCTGGCAAAGAGATCCTCCACAAAATAAAGGTATGTATGGCTCCCTGACTTTTCTTTTCCTTTTCACCAATCATCGCCCTTCTGGCTGAATTTTCCTCGGTATTGGCTCATTTGCATAATTGCATCGCATTTTGCACCTTTTCATTCATACCTTTGATTTTGGTGCAATTTGCCTTTTGTATTCTGTGATGGATAAATATTCTAGATCTTCATTTGTTGGTGGTTTTTTTTTTTTTTTTTTGGTGATCAATCAAAGAGATTGGATATGGTTGTATTTGTATAGATAATAAATGCATCCATGTACGAGTTCATTGGTGACTATTCACAATATGAAAATGATATAAGTGAGGATGTATCATGCTATTAGCTCTGTCCATCGTGTTTCGTCCCTAATATGCAAATGTTCCTGATAAAACATAACCAGGATGGTGGGGGTGCTTTCTTCTAGAGCGCAGCTGTTAGTGTGGCATTCTATTCACAATTAGTCAAAGCAGGTTTCATTTTGTTTGTGTTAAATCTTTTTGTCGTAAATATAGTTCCTTCCAGTTGGCTGGAGTTGGGATTCTTTTGCTTCATTTATAGATGTTGGTTTGGCTACTGGTCGAAAAATGTTAGTCTTCTTGGGGCCAACGATCTTTGAAATTTAATGCATTTCACCTTCGGTCCTTTAATAGCAAAGCAGGTTGGATCACGGGTTCAAAGCTCAGTTGCTTTCGTTCATCAACCATAGACACATAGGATGATTGGTAAAGTTCATTTATATCATTCATATGGCGTGAATCGTCTTTCACACTTGTGTACCGTTTCTGTCAGTAAAGATATATCTGGCTGCGAGCTAATCAAACTAATGATGTTGAATTCTAGAGATAGTTTTGCATTTAGCAGGAGCATCTTATGGATGCCTCAAATTCATGAGATTACTGGAATCGAAAAGTGACACAATGCTGATGAGATGAGGAATGAATTGTTGTATTTATTGTTAGTTGTGTATAGGCCCAGTGAAAGAGCATTGGATTTTGATAATCCTGTAGATGATTTTGGGGTTTTAACTATGACTATTTGCTGATGGATTAAAGGGCAAACAAACTGCCAATGTGGAAGCACAAGATTCTGAATTAAAAACAAACTACCATTCACAAGGTACATGATTGAGTACTCTTCCAGATATATATTGTTTTATCACTATACAGAACTGATATAGTGGACACACCGTACACTTAGTGACCATAAAAAACCCAGGTAGAAGGAATTTCCCAGTTTTGATGCTATATCCAGTTATTGGGAAAATACATTCGGAATTATTTTTACTAATCATGCAAGGATGCAGCAAATTAAACTTGTGGATAAGGTGCCTACGTGCGTGGAAAAGACAACAATAACCTCTACTAGTGAATAACTCTGGACAGAACCCAATCCTTAACAACAGTATTCCTCTCATTTTTGTCTTAACTCTGGGCAGAATCCTCGTTCACCTATTGATTTTGATGTTTGTGCTCCTAGAAATAAAAGAGTGTAGAGTTTAGTTCTCTGTTTTGCTTATGATGTTATAAATCGTTGACAAATTTTGCTCTAGGAAGAATGGATATAGACAAAATATGAAGTGTCTAACTGTAGTTCAAAGAGTTGCCTTGTGTACAATAAGTGAGTCTTTGACGCATGTATGTTTTTTGCAGGAAAAAGTTGGATTGTCAGATCCTGATTCAGGGAAAGGGAAGAGCAAGATGTCAAAGGAGATAAGTCATGGCTTTCACTTGGTAAAGGGAAAATCTGCTCATGCTATGGAAGATTATCTCGTTGCAAAATTTAAGCAAGTTGATGAGCATGAATTGGGTTTGTTTGCAATATTTGATGGCCACATGGGTCACGACGTGGCTGACTACTTACAGTCTCATTTATTTGAAAATATCTTAAAAGAGGTAATAAAGGATCCTAGCTATCTCCAGTTACCTATGTTATGAGTTGCACCCATTGTATGTTTACTTGTGAACTATGTTGCACTGATTCTTCATAAAAGTTGACATGCTCATACCGAAGTATGGAACACATTTGAAATGAAATTTATGTATCGTTTTGTGACATGCTACATATTAATGTTGGCTTTTTTAGTTGGGGTGGGTTCAAGAACGTGCAGAATCAGTCCTTGAACTTTGATTTATTCTCAGTTCTTGATGAAATTTGCTTCTTGCAACTCAATCCCTATAATTTTAACTATTTAAGTATTAGTTGCAATCCCTATAATTTCAACTATTTAAATATTAGTCCCTATATTTTTAAAAATAAAATCATGAAGATTAAAAATATTTTAAACTTTTAATATTTATAATATTTATAAAGATTTTAGTAATTTAAAATATTGGCAGTAAATTTTAACAAAATTTTAATTTTTTATAATTTTATTTTTTAAGATATACGGATCATATTTAAATAATTAAAAATATAAGGATTGAGTTATAACCAAGTTACTTAAAACCGGATTGGTTATTGAATCGGTCAAGACATTATGCTAAGCAATAATAGACAAATTAACAATAGTAAATAATGTAGAAACTACTTATTTTGAATTAAAAATGCAGAGAAGGAAAAGGCATAGCAATCAGAAAACTAATGACTAGATGACGAGGAGATTCACTGAGAGAGATAGAGGATAGCAATGTTACGACGAGTTCTGCTTCACGGTGAGAGAGAAGATAGTCGAGAGCGACACAAGTTATGCATCACAATCACGATGAGTTTTGCACTTTTGCTACACAGTGAGAGAGATAGAGTTTGAACTAGGAAAGCCAGGAGCCCAGGAGAGCAACAAATGATAGAATGGGTAGTGATGATGGTCGATGATCGATTGGTGGGGTTCGATTTGTGCTAGGGCAGGGGATGAGTATTTAGAGCTGGTGGGGGTGGGGTTTGATCAATTGATTTCAGAATTCAAAAGCAAAACCAACAAAGCCTTTTTGCCCTTTTGCTTTTTTTGTTTTCTTTAAAAAGAAAAAAAGCCTCCAAATGTCATATTTTGAGGATTTTGAAGGGCAAAATTAGAACTTTTTGAGGTTTATGAAGGACAAAATAGGTGACCCAGCTAACCCATCAGGTTATTTGGTTTACACCAGGTTATTGGTTTACACCAGGTTGACCTCGGGTTGGCCAGGTCATGCCGGATCACTCGCTAACTGGGTCAAGATGAAAATCGGATCGGTGGAGAGGCCAAGTCACCAGTTCAAGGGTTGACTTGGCTAGTTCGATCCGGTTTTCCATATAGTGGTTATGACGGGTCAAAATTTAATGACTGAGTTATAACAGGTCATGGTTCAGGGATTGAGTTATAACTGAGTCAAAATTACAAGGATTAAAGGATTAATTTTTCCTTGTTTAGAAATCAAATTTATTTTATATTGTTGATTTTTGTCTATTAATTTGTTGGATATATATACTAATATACACCCACATTTGTACTCATATCTCACGATTTTCAAGTTGTTGCTCATATTGGCTTTGTAAATCATTTTTCTGTTGTCAATTATTATGTCCTTCTGTTCGCCTTTACTTAGTAATGACAATGGTTTTGGAACATAATATGTTCCAATAACTCTTTTCCCTGTAGCCGGACTTCTGGACAGAAACTGGAAGAGCAATCAGGAGAGCATATCGTATAACTGATTCAACCATTCTTGAGAAAGCAGTTGAATTGGGACCAGGGGGTTCCACGGCAGTCACGGCAATATTGATTGATTGTCATAAGCTGGTAATAGCCAATGTTGGGGATTCAAGGGCTGTCCTATCCAAGAATGGTGTGGCTAAACAACTATCAGTGGATCATGAGCCAAGCTCTGAAAGGGTGGAGATTGAGAACAGAGGCGGCTTTGTATCAAACTTTCCAGGTAAGCAGATTTTAAACGTTGAGATCATTATGCCTTGTTCTTGTTAGAAGACTGCATTCGTTTATCCTGTTATGGTGGTTGTAGTACCATGGGCTAAGGATCCTAGCATAGATGTCTTTCTGATCTAGCTGGCTACCATATTCTCTGCTCTTGCTGAGACCAAGATAGGCTTTGTTTCAGGATTAACAATCCAGATTTTGTGATTAATTTAGGGGATGTCCCACGCGTGGATGGGCAGCTGGCAGTGTCGAGGGCATTTGGTGACAAAAGCTTGAAGCAACACCTTAGTTCAGAACCACACGTAGCAGAGGAGATTATAGATGATCGTGCAGAGTTTGTTATACTAGCCAGTGATGGATTATGGAAGGTCAGATTTGATAAATGATAATAAATCATGAATCACCTTACGGATACTCCGTTGCAATACCTGTGAAATATACATGTTGTTGGATTCACTTGCATGCTTTTCTGCTGCTCACAATCATTTATTCACATTTATCCTAGGTAATGTCAAATCAAGAAGCAGTTGATACTATTAAGGATGTAAAGGATGCTCGATCAGCAGCAAAGCTTCTCACTGAAGAAGCACTTAACAGGAAGAGCTCAGATGATATCTCCTGCATTGTTTTGAAGTTTCATTGATCGCAAAAACTCATAATATGTGGAATAAGGTGTGCAGACTTGGAAGTTGTGTATAACATAGTTTGTTGTTTGGAAAACTTGATGTCCGCCAGGTGCTATGCTTGAGTCTTTTAAGGTGTGAGCGTGATGTCATGCCTGCTCTTCTTGCAGAAAATCTGGGGGAGAAACTGTTGTTTGATATAACAATGTAGGAAAGATTTAGTTTTGGATTGTTTAGACAAGCGAAACGTATTACTGTATTCAAGGATGTTTGCTCCGGTTAGGAGATCTTACACACTTTTCATATTAAATACAAGTCATCTTCTGGTTGTGTATGATTCTGTTTGCACTTTATTCGGAGAGCGAAAAAGAAGGGGAAATATGGAATGCCATGCCATGGTGCTTCATTAAACAAATTAAGGACAGTAATGTTATGTTTACTCTGAGGACAAGTCTTTCTAAAAAGAGAAAGGAAAGCTAAACTTGTGTATTTGTTGCACTAAAAATTAGTAATACATCTTCTAACCATAGTTAAGAGAACAAGTTTTCAGGAAAGTTCATTTCACATGCTTATTCCCATTTCCATTGTGAGAAAATAAAATGAGGAGAAGGCAACTCAGGAAGGTGTGCAGTCTGAGTATCAAATACGACTTGCCTTTTATTTTCTTAAAATATGGGACTTTTCATTTCACATGCTTAGTTTATGCTTTTCCTTCTGTTGCTTTTGCACATCAAAATTGAAATGTTTTATTGATTTTTCCTTTTTTTTTTTTTGGGATATTAACGTAAGAAGAGATGGTACTTTTCTTAAACGACCGGGCTAATAACTCCCTTCTGGACAGTTTATTCTCATAACATAGAATAGAACATAATATTGGTATGAAAATAATTGAAAGGGGGACGTCCTCTTTGCCCATGCAAGTCCGAGGACTCCATTCAAGGGTGTTCTCACAGGACGCCTAGCTAAGGCACACAAACAGAAGAGAAGCACACAAACAGAAGTCACATACTCTAGACAATGGATTGTTCTCTTGGGCTTATTCTGCCTAATTCACGTAGTAATAACTAAACTCAGAAGTCACCCTCTCTCGACATTGGATTGTTCTCTTTGGCTTATTCTGATAACATGCAAATATTCTATGTATGCCTTGGCACATGAGAAACTAGAGGATGACAGAAGAGAGAGAGCCTCTTATATAGTTAAGGATTTATTTTATGTGAAAAGATTTGTAGCCAGAACTCCCAGGAGTGCTCACTTGGACTCGTCCTCTATCATCAGCATGCCTGCAATGGCTCTCCTTTGTGTGGTGACCTTTGCCACGGCTGCAGCTCTCATTGTAAATTTCACCAGTGCTTTTGCGGCGACGTTCGTTGTGCCCAGCCAAGCGCCTCCGGCAGCTTCTCTTAGCTTCATCAAATTCCCCCAAGTCATGGAACCTGCAGAGTCATTATAGTTTCCTATCCAGGTAAACAAGCAGACGCAGAATTTTGAACATTTATTTGGCATTTATTCTCCTTGGGATTCATGGGAACTGTAAAGTGAAAAATACTTAAGCAAGGAAGCTCAAGTTCTCAGACAAGGTTTCATTCATGTTATACGCACAGAACATTGATTCTCAATTGGTAGAAATGGTTAACAGGAACCAACTTTTTGTGACTTATAAAATTAGGCGAACTAATTTTCCTATATTTAAGGTAGAGGAGGACACTATTCCATCCCTATTAGCCTCTTTATATACATACTATTGTTCATTCCTCTGCTTCATGAAAACCATAATGCTTTAAAGAACAAAGGATTAAGGATGAAACAAATAGATATATCATACTGGAGTATGGGCAAAATCAATCTGTACAATCTATATTGAATTCTAACATAAAGATGAAGCTCTAGTTGAATTAGGGATTAAACACCTGCTACATTGCTGGCAAAACCTCTGCCTTAGCCCTGCAACCATTACAGCTGCTGCCTTGGAGTGGAACTCGCACACCCTGTGGCGGCGATGGTAACGCTTTGCATCACTCAGATCAGCTCCACACCTCTCTGCCTGACAACAAGGTGGAGAAACTCCACCACTTCCACTTGACCCTCTTCTTCCACTTCCCATGACACCTTTCCTCTTCTGCTCTTCTGCGACACCACCATCACCTCCACCGCCACTTTCCTCTTCCTCTTCTACCTCATCCTCTACTTCTTCTTCTTCAACTACGTTGTTATCCTTCCTTACCTTCTCAATTGAAGTTCTCTTCCTCTCAAGCTTGGCTTCCATTGCTGAGAGCTTACAATAAGATGGTGTTGGTGGAGGAGAAGAAAATGGTGGGGCAATTACAATGAGGGGAGCAAGCCATTTGGAAAGCTAGGAAGCCATGAGGAGTTTTATAAGGAGGAAAAGGGAAGAGAGGGTGGACCACAGGTTCCATTTTGTCAAGTGTGTGCATTTTGTTAATAGTGAGGGGAATATGCATAGAGGAGGAATTATTGGTAGACAACTTAAAAAAAAAAAATTAGAGAATTAGATAGCAAATACGCGAAGAACTTCATCAAAGTCTTGTCCTTACGCAATGGGTTTTGTCTGTTATGGAAAGGTAATAAAGGAAAGTTTTAGATCCCAATTCTTGCAGTAAGTGGGAAGTGGGGATTGATTTTGTATGAAAGGTTTGTTGAAAGTGATAGTTCTCTCAGATACACTTCCATGTCCATTCAAAAACTTAACTACTGCTGCTGAAGGGATTATACATGGAAAAAGGGAAATTCTGCTTTTTGTCTGTTTTTGTTTTGTTTTTGTGCTTGATGAAAAGCAGATGAAGGATCCACATTACATGCAATGCATAATAAAATCCATGTCTTCAAAAACCATATTTACCAAAAGTTCATGATATCCTACAAACTTTTGCAGAATCACCACAAGAACTTTACCAGGAAATTATTCACTGCCACTATTTATTTACATGGATGGGGTAAATGGTAAACAATCTAGCAGATTAGTAGGTCTGGTCTCTCTTCCAGTACTATCTCACCCCAACTTTTTGGGTTAAGCATTTAACTGAGGTGGATTGGGTGGAAGGTATTGATGCACTGCATTTTCACTTAAAAGTCTATATGAAGAGCTCAGTGTACATTGAGAGCATAGGAAGATGAGAGAGACATACCAAGTGTTACTTGGAAGCCTTTTTAAGTTAAATGTAGAGTATATCAAACTGTTTCCTTTTCCTTATTATTTCGGCCTTCCTTCTTGGCCTTCAAAATAGGATCCTGCTTTATTTACTTCCATCTTCTCCCTTTGTATGGAGGGCTCCGCAATATTTTTCAATCATTACCTTTGTTGTTGGACACACACCCATTTTTGTTTCAATTTAGTACCTTAAAGAGTATGATTTTATTCAATCCCATAAAAAAGATATTTATCTTTGGAAGATTTTATTGCTCTGAAAATATTAAAAAAGGAGTTGTAATTAATAATTACTTTCTTAAAATTTGATACAAACATTTGATTTTGAAAATTAAAATTTTTTGAGGCAGACCTTTTTGCGTCCTCAGATGTATTTTATTTCATTTTGTTTAAAAAGTCTTTGTGAGTGTCAATTATCAAAGTTATAATCATACCGTAGTCTTCAAACCAAAACAAAAATTCTGAACCATGACGCTTTTCATATATGTCGCAACAGTAGTACTGAACTACTTGGGCCACCAAGAAAATGATGTCTTACAGTGACACGACCAAGCACGCTAGCACCATTCATAAGATGCCATAGTACTAAGTACGTGATGTGAGTTTTCACCATGGAAGGTATCTGGATATGGAGGACAAAAGCAGGTGGATTCGAGGGACTTATTAATGAGAAAAGATCTGAGGATTTGATGTTCACCTCTGTGCTTTTATTAGACTGCTAGCTTGTTCTCACTCTCGCCATATGTGGGACATCCACGTTCTGTGCTTTTTACTGATCTGAAAATTTCCAACACAGGTTCAAGCACCTCATAGCATCTTCCGGGCAACTCTGTTAGCTAATGCCTCTTTTAAGTAAGAAACGCTTAACCTAAGCTTTTTAGTTGAAATCTCACCTAGTCAAGTCATGTGAGCAACTGTCAATTATCGGTTTTATTAGGATATTCAAGTGTGAATAGACTTGAGTTGATGTGAGAAATCTCACGTTAAAAAAAAATTAAATTTAATAATTAATATATAATAAAAAGAATGAATCAATAAGTTTAAGTTTTGAAGTTTTGAATTAAAATATGATACCATAACCCTTATGGAAAAGACATGTTAAAAGCCCTATACCCTAGTTGTGCTCATGTTTTTGGGACTGGCTCGTGGCATTTTTCTCTTCTCCATTTTCGGATGGTTGCTCTAACAGGATCTAAATTTTCTTGGTATTAAGGTTGAAGAATTGATCTCCTCGAATATCTTAAAACTTTTATTTTATTCAGCGAGGGACTTGGATGTTTCATACTACTAGTTTAGTTTCCATCAAAATTCATGACCAGAAAACAGAGCTTGAGCTAACGTGCATAGATGCAAAAAGATTTTTCATTGGCATGCATGGATGTCAGTTCAGGCCATTTTTGCATGGTTCCGCTTCGAAATTTGCACTACAATATAATCATCCAAAGCCATGAAAACTCAAAGCATCAAATCAGTCTCATGATAATAATAACTGTGTTATTCTCTCTCCTTCACTAAACGAATCAGAATATCACACCACACACAAACTTGAACGCCACAAAATCAAGCCTGTCGCCCTCGTTGAGTTGTTTTATGGTCCCCTGCTTTTGCTCTCTTGGATTATATTCTTCTCTCTCAGCGGTGAGTTGCTATGGAATTGCAGGTGATGTACTGCAACCCCACAAAGGTACATGCATGAGCATGACACGGGGGAGAGAGAGAGAGAGAGAGAGGAAAAAGGTCCTGCTTTGTGTAGGACAGTTGTGAGCAAATTCTTATTGTGAATGGACAAAAGCAGGAACTAAAGGTAAGCCTCATATATATATATATATATATATTTAGTGCTCAAGCAGATTCTTCTTCTTGCTGATCTTCTTCTGCTTCCATGTGTCTTTGTGGAGAAGCAAAGATGGTGAAGACAGCTAGAGAGTTGAACAATGATTGATAAGATGATAGGAATTATAAGTCATGTTCGTGCAGAAGCATATGGTATAATTGTGTTGGTCCCAAGTACAAACAATCACGTTAGCTAGGCCTTGAAAGAAAATTAAAAACCGAGGACTTGTTTTCACGCCACACTTCGTACATGATGTATATGAAGGCAAGGTACCTTTGTGTCCGTCTTCTCGCTCATACCTGTTTGTTTGTTTTTTGCTGTAACTTTATACGAGGAGGATTTGCGTAGGTGCTCAAATAATTGACTAAGGTATCTGATTCTATATATGTAAATTTTGACATGGTGTTCTACTAAGTTCACATATAATTGACTCTTCGATTTTTGTTTTTTGTCTTTTGGGTTGTCTTGGAATCTTAAAATATCCCGATCGATGTCATCAAGTTGAGATTTTAGTTCGGAGAGCATGAACAAACAAGAATATATGTAATCGATTTGTTTGAAGGGATATATAGTTACGCTGTGGATTTGATTTTTAGCAATAGAAGACGAGAATGATTCTTTCGCTGCAGGAAAACATCGAAAAGTGAGAAATTAACGATTTGTTCTTCAGACAAATATCTCTCGCTTCACAGTACATAGTAATTATTGTTTAAGAAAAATATTTCTTCTTGATAACACTTAAAACATATCAAATATTCAAATATATACGTGGCAGAAAGTATGCGTAGATTTATTTTAATATATAGTATGGAACAAAAAATTCAATTAAAATTAATTAATATTCTTAAACTTTTAAAACTACTAACTTGCTCTCTTCAACTTTTTTTAAAATTACTCTTAATATTTAAATTTCATTAATTAGAAGATAATGGACTAATTAGGAGATTGTTTAATTAGTTAAGAAATATATGATATTTTTAAAAAATAAATTTCAGACAACTTGCAATAGCTAATGGCTTTATCATAAAGAAGGATATCATATAGTGAGGACTGAAAACTGTATTATGATAAAAATTGGTTGACATGAAGTTCGTTTAATTGTTGAAAAGAAATAGAATAGAATTAAATGTGTTGATAGAAAATGCAATAAACTAAAATAAGATCATAGGCTAATAAAAAGGTGAGAGCCATGGAGTGGTAGATAAGTAGGAATGGGAGTTGATGATCTTATTCATGTTAATCCCTATTCTCACCTCCCTATCACTTTATAGCTTTCATATCTTTATTGTCCTTACCTTTCTATCAATCAACAACTTTATTTAAATTCATTTTGTTCTCTATTAAGTCATTCATTAGTCCATTCTAGCCATTTTTTTCCACAACCAAATGAGCCCTTATTAGTCAAGTTAAACTAACAGCAAAGAATTGTATAATTAAGAGCTCTGGTATGCTTTGTATATGTAGTATAATATTGAAGTATAAATTCACCGGTGCCTTGTTCACTCAAAGAAGTTAACAAATTATAATCTAATAGCTGCTGCAATTTTTGATACTTGATCCAACTCAACTTGAATCTAAATTAGCCAAACGATAAATCACAATACATCAGATAGTCTGTGTGTATCTGAAAACAAAAAATTTAGACCAACACTGTAGATAGGAAATTGATCATAGCCTTTCGACTCCTTGTTCTTTTATATGAACTAACACCCCAGAAAGACCAATATTTTTACCTTAAAAACTCATCTTCTGCTTTGAGTCTCTCACCTTGCAAGGAAAGTAGAATTTATAAGTTTATAGAGTTCTCCAATCTATCAAGTTATTTTTTGTGTGACAGACTCTTTTTTTTTTTTTTTTATAAACTCCACTTTTCTTGTCTCCCCAATGTAGTACTCAACATCATCTCCTTTTGCCGAAGAGGTTATCCTTATTAATTTGAATTTAGGAAACCATATATTTTGCTACTTATACGTACATGGTCAGATAATTATACATAGGGTTAAAGGACATTTAGTGCATTTTTGCCTCTCAATTATTCACTCATGTGCATTTAGTATCCTAATTTTATAAATGGTGCAATTTTCTCCTTTAATACTTACAAATGATGCATTGAACACGCTATCACTAAAAAAAGTTAAATTTTATTATTAGTTGACTTAAAAATTATAAAAAAAACCCAAAAAATACATATAAGTACTCTATAAAGACTTAATATCAATAAAATCTCTAAAATAGTACTATAATAATTGATAAGTCTTCCTCCAAAGTTTATAAATCCTCCTTCAAAAATTTACAATTGATATAAGAATGCATTCATTTATAAATAATACTCCCTCCATCTCAAATTATAAGACACTTTTGAGAAATATTTAGTGTTTCAAAATATAAAAAACTTTGATAAAAATAAAGTTTCATTAATTATACTTTTTCAATATTACTTTTTCCATATATTCTCTCTCTTCAATATTCTTTTATTAATGAAGTATTAAATGAAGGGTATTTTTAAAATTTTATATTTTTATCTTGAAAAAGTAAGGTTGTAAAGTATATTTAATAAGTTTTATTGATATATAAGATTTTATCCAAAAATATCTTATAATTTGGGACGGAGGGAGTATTATTTATAAGTACACTATTTTAGAGACTTAATGCATATTAATATTCCTATAATAGAGTACTTTTATTTTTAATTTTATGTGTTCTTTTCAGTAATTTTTGTGGTTATTTTTTATAGTTTTTTGGATCAACCAACTAACATCAAAGTTAATATTTTTAATATTAAGGTATTCAAAATAAATGTTGATAAGAAAAATTGAACCACGTATATAAGTTTAGGACACTAAATTAAACACTCCTAAATGAATAGTTGATGTGCAAAAATTCCTTTTAACCCTTATACATATGCATGATCGGATAGCTAAATGGAGCCATTGTGACGATGTTTAAACAAACCCTTACGCAATAATGTGGTTTAGTTATTGTGTGAGCCTTTGTTGTTGAGATGGTGTTGTTGGCCTTCATTCATGGTCTGGTCAGAGTCTTCCATGGCTCTCATGGGCCCTTCTCGTGCTGCATCATTCGTCACAGCGATGTCCTCTCTCGCCAATCCACCACCCTCACTTATTCCTTCCCCATCCTGCTTCACATACAGTATGCATGCAGCAAAAAACACTCTCATGTTGCAGACTATGAGAGAGAGAGAGAGAGATGGATATATACTCACTTGGGAACGACGACTACGGAAGGCAGCAGAGAAGCAAGAAGAAAGTAGGCGAGGTGAAGAGCGTAGAAATAATGAGGATTTGGAGATACTGAGGATGTTGTTGGTGAAGATTATTGTTGTCATAGTCATTTCTGTGATAGTGGTTGTAGTGCGATATATGCAGTACATGTATCTGCTCTTCATCACTGACATAGAGCGAATTTAAGCCGCCTGAGTATGAGTTTAGAGTCGGGAATAAGAGCCGGACTTGACGGGCTGCCCATTTAAACCTATTTTAATAAAGATTCGAGCTTGAAAATTTGATATTTTTTTGGGTAATTGGGTTTCAAAGCCTGACCCTTTTAAGCCCTAAAAAAACGACTCGGGTTCGGATGGCCCGTGAAGCCCGTTTTACTTTTTTTTTTGGTTGGTATTGTAGGTGATGATGATGAAGAAGCTTGTGAAGCCTTAAAATTTGGTATTGTAGGTGATGATGATGAAGAAGCTGCAGAGATAGTTAATATTGAGTTTCCGCCTCCATCTTCCATGAGTGGACCTGTATCTGAGGGTTCTAATATTTTATTTGTGAATGATGATGATGGGAATCTTGATTAGTATTGATGATGATGGGGATTTTGATTAGGATTGATGATGATATTTGCCTTCATCTTATTTAAACTTTTAAATTTTTTATTTATTTTTTAGATTATGTAAAACTTTGGTTGGATGTATGTTGAATTTTAAAATATTCTAAGTAAATTTTAATGTTAAATTTTATTTTATTTCTATTAGGGCTTATGAGCCCGGCTCTAAACCCTTTAAATAAAAGTTAAGCTTTAATTTTAAGATAAAATTAAGATAACTAAATTTTAGAGCCTAAGCCCATAAGGGCCGAGCCCATATAGCTCGCCCATTTATTAGTATAACACCTTCCTTCATGGATTTTGGACACGTTATCTACACTCTAGCCTTTTTGCACCGCTTAGCTTATAATTTTCAAAGTTAAAAATTGTACTGAAGAATTAAAAAACCAGAACATCAGTTTGTTAATTTTTTTTTTTAAACAAAACTAAAGAGAAGGCATATTGTTATTTTTTCTGCAAAACTGGAGGAAAAAAAAACAAAAAACGTCATGTTGTTAATAAAATAAAGTATTCTTTCACCTTTTATTTCACCAATTTAGATATATATTTTTAAAATAATGACAGATTTTATATTTTCAAAATTTATTTTAAAAAATTATTTTAAAAACATAAAAATAGAAAATAAAACCAAGGCTTTCATTCCCCCCTTCCCACTTTTTGACCAACAAAAGACTTCCATTAATTCACGACAGTCAATATACACGACGAAAATATCGAGTGGAGATGACTTTCAATCATTTAAATCGCTCTTGGAAAACTTGGGAGAACGAACCACATGGAATTTTTTTAAAAAAAAAGATATGCTAATGCACCTTAATCAGGATCACACCATGGTGGTTATCAAATAGGTATATTTTTTTTTATAGTACGGGTAATTTACTATTTGATCATTTAAATCGGTAATGTTTTCCCAATTTTTTATTTCTTTTGTTTCCCACAAAAGTCTGAACCTGGGCCTCATCTTTTATCCTCTCACTCTGTTTTGGATCATCTGGCCCATTAAGAAACATGTTGAAACCTATGAAGGGCCAAGAAATTAGTAGGAGGCCATAAAATTTTTAACTGGACGAATATTTTTAAGCCCAAGCAATTAGAAACTATCTTATCCTCCAAAACGCCCCCCAATCGATTATAAAACGATAAAAAATTAGTGGGTAGAAAGAGAGAAAATAAATCTATATACACTAATTCTTTTTATATCATTTTTCTTTAAAATTTATAAAAATTCACTGGAAAAAATGTGAAGAATCCAAATCTGGAAATTCTGTATTGTTCCTCACTCATTATCTTGTCAATTTAAGAACAAGAGAATGTGTATGGAAGATATTGAGCAAGTTCCAATCTTATACGAGTACATTATTTTTAATTTATAGAAATTTTGAAAAATACAATATGAATATTTTCTTCCATACCCCAAGAGACGTAACGCAAAGAAGACCGCGTCCAAAGCATTTCCATTTCGTGTTTGATTTTTTTTTTTTAATTAATCCCATCAAAAGTTTGAATAAGTTGAGCCTTCTTTTCTGTGTGTGTTTTTTTTTAAATAATGTTCAAAGTTAAGCACCATAGCTTATAGGTCATTATCTCATGAAGAAGAACAAAAGAAAAAAAGTGAAATTGCCACTCAATTTGTAATGGGAAACGCATTAGGCAGTTTCACACTATCTTCTTTAACACAAACTATTAAAAAAATGTCATTATAAAATCACTAAATTAAATGAGCTAAGTCCAAGATTTGAATAATTTAGATCTCACACAATTATGAAAATAATAATTGCATGTTGGGTCGGTCCTTATGCATTTATAGTTTTGATTGAATATTAATTGATATTGATGTTATGATAGATTTACATGTTGACAATATATTAATAGAAGACCAAAAAATAAAATAAATATAAATAAAAAAAGTTAAGGTGTATTTTTAGTTATTTAACTTCACACAAAATTTTATTTTAATTATTTAATTTTAAAAAGTATATTTTTAATTCTTTAATCATAACACTATTAGTTTCATCAAAAAAAAATTTACATTAAACTTTTAAATATTAACAAAATAGTTTCAAATGTTGATTAATTAAGTTTAATTTTTTAAAAACATAACAATGATTAGCACAAAAATTAATCATTTAAAATTAATGGTGTTAAGATTAAAAGACTAAAAATATATTTTATAAAATTAAGAAATTAAAATAAAATTTTATATAAAATTAAAAGATCAAAAGTGTACTTTAAATTAAAAAAATCTAAATACACTGTTTCCATCCGTTCCATTTAAAACTCGTCTAATAATATGAATTTAAAAATTTTTATGTAACTCAGCTTGATTCAATCTAAATTGGTTGGGGGTTCAATATAACTCTAAAAAACACTTGATATTTACCCCAAAAGAAAGGAGCACGCTTAAGCCACACATTATGAGAAATTAAAAAATAAAATTGACCAAGGGCCCCAAAATTTATTGAAAGAATACCTACATATTAAAATTTATAAAATGATATAGGAATCTCAACATATTTTTAGCTGTATTTTTTTAATAACTTTTAATTATCATACCAGTAATCAGAATACTATAATATATATATATATATATATATATATATATTTAAAAAAAAAACTATACGACAGTGGATAAAACACCTTTGAAATGTTTGCAAACCACACCAATATTTGAGTGTATCCTTAACTGTCTGATCGTAACTTTGTGGTTGGTTTCATGGGGATTACTAATGTTTGATCAAAAGCTTTTTTTTTTTTTTTTCCTGGAATGAAACTTCCATGCTTCTCAACCACACAGATTGGCTTCCTTTTATAAAAAAGAAAAGGCCACTTTCTGAGTTCCGCAGCCAGAACTTGCCTCTTAAAGCAAAAGCAGAGGATTAGTTTCAATTTCAACCATATGCAAAAGGATCATCCCGAGTAATATACTGTGTCCAAGTGGATTTCACATCAGCAATATACATATTTTATGCATATACTGAGGTGGCATTTTCTTCAGCCAATTGGTTGATTCTGAAGTGCAGATTCCACTTATTTCTTTCTCAAACTTGCTTGAGCTCTTGCCAATGATCTTATCCCGCTTGGGTTTTTTGGATTTCTATCTGTTTTGTCAATTACCCTTTTGAACCACTATGAATTGTTCGTCCTTCTTTTGTGGGTGGATAGATAATCTTATGATCAAGTTTGGCGATAAAGTAGTCGTCTCATTGAGCCACAAGAACCAATATATACCTGTTAAATTATATCCTCGGATTTTGACTAGTTAGTTTAATTCCCACTTTGGATTTCTAGAATGTATTTGGATGTCAAAGCAATGTAAAACAGAAATTTCATCAGTAAATGAATCATGTTCAACTCCACTGGATCGCCAGAAATAAAGGCCATAAGGAGATATACAAAGTAGGAAAGAACATTTTTTGTCATATTCACTATCTGTTGCAAGCACATACAAATGCAAAAGAACAGCTAATGGGAAGAAAGTGCAGATCTTCTATGATTCTTATTGCAGGAACGTCTAGTGGCCAAAATTAGCCTTTTTCTTTTTTACAGGGTACAAGTATCAGTGTTGTGTAACAAAGGACCAAGAAAGCATAAACAAAGAACGTTCCACCCCCATACAACAAACTTGCTATACATGTATGTTGGCACTCAAAGAACAACCAAAATCCAGATAGCTAGCTGTCATTTATGCAGGAACTGATAATCATTGCTGTAAACCATCCACCCCAACACGATCAAGCGTCGAAACAACTTCTTCGATACAGGGTCTTTGTCTTGGTTCCTGGTCCAAACATCTACAAGCAATGGCCAGTACCTCCAAGAGCTGCTTCTCATGATCCTTGTCCAAAATGGCTGGGTCGAAAATTTCTTGCTCCTTGTTTTCAGATTTCATTTGAAACACCCAAGATACCAGGTTCCTGCAGTTTTTACCCTTGATGACTTCTACTGGCCTTCTACCGGTAAGAAGCTCAAGAAGAACAACACCGAAGCTATAGACATCACCCCTGAAGGTTGCTGTTAATGTCTGACTATACTCTGGCGGAATATATCCTAATGTACCCACTAAATCCGTTGTAACATGGGTGTCATAAGGCTGAAGTAGCCTTGAAAGACCAAAATCAGCCAAATGAGCTTCAAATCTATCATCCAGAAGTATATTGCTAGACTTAACATCTCGATGGACAATGAACGGCTCACATCCCTTGTGCAAATAAGCTAATCCATGGGCTGCACCTTTTGCAATCTTGAGTCTCACATCCCATTTCAGAGCTGAATTAGCATCCACACACTCATGAAGCCAGTAATCTAAACTTCCATTCTCCAAGTAGGAATAGATTAACAATCTGACATTGCCATGCCGGCAATAACCTTTCAGAGAAACAAGGTTCTTGTGCTGAGCTCTGGAAAGGGCCTCTACTTCAGCTTGGAATTCACGCTCCATCTGACCACAGTCCCCAGAAAGTCTCTTGACTGCAGCTTTCGTGCCATTTGGAAGATTTGCCTTGTACACAAGACCAAACCCACCACAACCAATAATGTTTGCCTGGTTAAAATTGTTTGTGGATTTCAACAAATCTGAAACTGTGAGATCCTTGCAATCTGAATTCTGAAAAAGAACCAGTTTTGAAGAAACAAGTCCTTCAGATAACCTGGGGGGCCCACCCAATTCCTCATCAAAGTTTTCAACTGGCTTCTCTTCATCCCTTTTTGATACTTTCAGCAGAACAATGGCAAGAAGCAGGGCTAGCCCTACACCTATACTGATTGTTATACCAAGAACATTGTTTCTACCAAATTTGCTGGAAGAACCAGAAGGCATATTGGGCCTCCATCCCATATTGTCGGTTTTGCATGGAGAAACTATTCCACCACAAAGTCCCGGGTTGCCCTCAAAACTTGAACTAGAAAAGCTTAGAAACTGTCCCCCTGTTGGAATTGGTCCCCGCAAGTGATTATATGCCACACTGAACTTTGACAAGAATGTGAGGTTGTTAAATGATGGAGGGATCACTCCATCGAGATCATTATATGACAGATCTAATGTTTCCAAGTTCTCCATCTCTGAAATACTGGTAGGAATAGTACCAGAGATTTCATTCCTGCTTAAATCCAAGACATGCAGCGCTTTGAGTTGCCCGATTTCCGGCCATATCATTCCACTCAATCTGTTATTGCTCAATAATATTGAAGGAGGGAAACTTGAAGCTTGGTTATATTGCAGCCCATGAGCACTCTTGTTTCTCTTAACATAGAGAGGAACGCCAGCAGATGGAGACAGATTTGGTCTAGTGCAATTCGTGGATACAAGACCTTTCAACTGTGTCAAACTTTTTGGCATTTCTCCCACGAAAGAATTATTCGAGAAATCCAGGTAGAACAAATTGTCCATCCTACCAATCCAAGAAGGGATACTACCTTCCAAACGGTTCCAAGACAAATCAAGGACTGCTAATTTGCTGCAATTCAATAGCCAAGCAGGGACCTGGCCTTTGAGACCACAATTTCCCAGAGCTAAAACCATTAGGCTCTCAAAGCCTATAACACTTTTTGGTATTTCCTCACCACGGAAATTCTTAGAAAGGATAAGTGTAGTGAGGTTTTTGCAATGCTGCAGCACCGACAGGGCCCCAGGCAAGTTCTCTAAGCTATTGTTGGACAAGGACAGGAAAAAAAGTGATGAAAGGTTTGCATAGTTTTCAGGAATTGAGCCAGTCAACCCATTCTTAGCAAGGCTTAAAACTTTCAATTCGCGGCAATAGGACAAGGAGCTTGGAAGAGAGCCAGTAAAATGATTAGATGCAAGATCAAGGTTACACAGATTAGTTAATCCTGTGAAATTAAGATCAATTTGACCTGCCAGAGAATTGTTTCGAAGATCAAGCAACCGAAGCTTTGAGCATAAAGCCAGGCTAGATGGCAATGACCCAGAAAATGAATTGGTGTGTGCTGCTAACTGTTCTAAATCTGTCAGATTCCCAAACACATTTGGGAGCACCCCAGAAAACTGGTTCCCAGAAATTATGATAGACTTTAAGCTAGAGAGCTTACTTAGCTGCGTGCTTAACTGACCAGAGAAATTGTTCACAGACACTGAGAGTTGCTCCAAAGCTGACAGTGAGTACAAGGCATCTGGAAGAGGGCCTGAAAATAAATTGTTATCCAAACGCAACTCCTGGAGAGATGTGTTACATTTGTCCAAGCCTTCAAGACCACCAGCAAAGCGATTTGCAGATAAATCAAGCACACGAAGCCCCTTAGAGGAACTGCAAATTTGAGAATTGAACTGACCGTTGAATGAATTGTTGCTTATGTTGAATGCAACGAGATGACGAAATTCCCCAACCTGAGACAGATTTCCGACAATTGAATTGCTGGATATGTTCAGTGTCTGAATGGATTGCAAACCAGAAAGAACTTCAGCAACAGATCCTGACAGCATATTATGGCTCAAATCAAGAAACTTCAACAGCTTCAAGTTGGAGAATTCTGCGGGCAACGCACCTTGGAGATGATTGAACGAAAGATCCAGCACAATTAAGCGGTCTAATTGCGCTAGAGAACTAGAAATTGCCCCATTGAGACCCATTTGAGGCAGAATCAACTGTATCACTCTGCTAGAAGTTGTCTCATCAGTCATATTATCGCAGACAACACCAACCCATTTGCAGCAATCGATATCAGTGGACCATGATGTGATAATAGACCCATTTGTGAGGTTGCCAGCAAATTGCCTCAGCGCCAACAGATCACGAGAGTCACAAGACGGGGTTGGGGTTTTCACACCCAGAGATAAGCAAAGAAAGCAGGCCAAGAACCCCCATTGGAGGAAACTCATCAAGAAATATCTCAGCACCACCATTATGAAACCAGAGAATATCCTCAAGCTCAAATCAAAGCAAGGCTAAACTGCCACCGGCGAAGCAGAAGCTAGGGTCATTAGAATCACGGTGCCTTTTAGAACTACAAAGAAACCCCAGACGAGGGAGGAGGTTGAAATTGCAAGTCAAGAAGAAGCAAAAACTTATAAATAAACAAAGGATAGCACCAATCCCCAAGTGAGAAATCAAATCCCTAGAAGAGGGATCGAGACAATGGGAAAGAAACCCTGCTCAATCTGAACGCACTCTCACAAACAAGCCCTTGAAGAAGGAGATAAGGAGCACAAATGAAGAAACTTATATCCCATACCCCCAGACGCCTAAGAAAGCACAAAAAGGACCATCTAAGAGCAGCTTGCGGGTGAAGCGAACAACAGAGCCCATGAGGGAAGACAAGGAAAAAAAAAAGTAAAGGAAACTACAATCAATTATACAGGCAGAGCTGGTGACCTTCCCTCGTCCCCACCTGAAATTAAGACCCTTGACCGAAAATCAAGAACCCATAAACTAAAATTGACGGGGCATAAGCTAAACTAAAAACAAGAACCACAAAGATTAATAAATCCCTACAGATCACAACATAACTACAAAAACCCTTCAATAAAAAACAAATCTTTTGGCTACTTATGCGCTAAGGGAGTTGACAAAGAAGAATAAAGAAAGACGGAGTACGGGTGTAAGACAAGGCCCAGCGAACCTAACCTCAGCCAAAAAATTTTCGTCAAAGGGTATCCCTTGGTTTCCAAACCAGACGATCTTTTTTCTCTATGCTCTTTTCCCTGTACTACAGTGACTTTTTTTTTTCAAACGTAATAGCTGTCCTCTCTCTGATTTTCAAACCAAACACAGATGGGGGTAGAATCTAGAGGTGAGAAAGACAAGGGGAGCAGATATTTCAAATCAAATAATAGTGCAAGAAAGAGAGAGCACTAGGAGCACAGTGCCAGACAGAAAAGGAAAGTTCTTTCTCTTTCTTGAGAATCTTTTTTTTTTATTTGATTGGGTCATAGCAGTAAGTAGAGAGAGGTTTGAAGGTTGAAAGGTGAGGCGAGGACGGAGAGCCGGAAGGGAGCTGACTTGACACAATATTTTTCTCTCTATATCGTTTGGATTTCTTGCTTCTTCACGGTGGATAAATGCCTGCGAGCCTGCCTGCTCTTTCACATGCTGACTTGAGCACACATGGCTATCTTCTCTGCTCACCCCTCTCTCCCTCTAAGTGTCAATGCACGGCTCCTGCATTGTCTGCTCACCCGCTCTCTCTCTCTTTGGAATAAAGAGAGGCGATGGGGTTAAGAGGTTCAACAGATTCGGTCGATGTGGTAAAACACTAAAACGAGGAGAAAAAGAGTCTTTCAAGCCCCACGCTTTAATTACGCGCGTGCTTTGCACACGTGGCATGGTTATTATTACTGGTTCTATGTTTTCATTGGCGCTATTATTATTATTTTGTTTGATTACTACTCCGCATCTTTAATTTTTTTTTTTTTAACAGCATACTCCTATATTTAGTTATCATATGAAACTGATATGGTATGGGTCTATTCTGTTAATAAAAGAATCATGAAAATGATATTTTTCATAATTTAAAAGTGATAAAATTTGTTAAAGTTTTTATATCTTATAAGAAATTAAATATTTTCATTCAATAAGATGCCCAAAGAACCAAGGATAATTTAGTCAAGTGAAATAAAATAAATAAGAAGAATTTCATTAAAGGACTGGGACATTATATCAGTATAGGATCAAAAAAATTTGAAAATTCACTACAGAAACAAAAAAAATTAATTGGAATATGTTTTGAGGAGAAATGAGTACAATGTCATTGAATTATTATTCATTTTAAAAAATAGCCTCACTATAACACGCCCCCGGCTTGTGGAACTGCCCCCACAACGACCACGGGAGCTTTGGTGCTGGCCACCAGAAATTAAATACCCTAGGATGACAAGATGAGTTTGAATCACAACTCGTTGGTGTGCCAAAAGTTTATAAAAACATAATAACCATTAAACAAATAATATTTTTTATTATAAAATACTACTTATGTCCATAATTATAGTGGAGCTTTTGAAAGAATTTCTCTTCCTCAAAATATAAAATATTTTGAATAGATTAAAATTTTATTAAATGTATTAATTTTAATATTGTCTTTTTTTTTCTCTATAATTAATTCATGTTCCTTCTCTTTTCAATACAATAAATGATGGTTATATTTTTAAGTTTATATTTTTATTTTAAAAAAATAAAGTTATTAAATATATTTAATAAGATTTATTAATATGTGAGATTTTATCTAAAAGTGTTTTATAATTTAAAATAAATGGAGTATCAAATATAATATACATCATAGTCCCAAAACTAGATAAACTTATTAATAATATTACTTCTTTTGTCTTAAATTATAAGGCACTTTTAAAGAAATTTTTAATTTTAAAATATAAGACACTTTAAATAAATTAATATTTTATTAAATACATTAATTTTAATATTGTCATTTCTCTTTTTATGATTAATTTATTTCACTTCTCTGTTTAATATATTAAATAGTAAATATTTTTAAAATTTATATTTTTTATTTTAAAAAAAATAAAATTATTAAATATATTTAATAATATTTATTAATATGTAAAATTTTATTAAAAAATATTTTTAATTTAAAATGGAGAAGTATTTATTATTTCAATAACAAAACCGGTTCACCTCTACATGTTCCGTCCAAACTTGGTTACAGGTATATTTCGGAGATAAGAGGAATAATGAGTGAAATGGAGAGGAGGTAGGTTGAAGTGAAAAGGACGCGCTGCAAAACGAGCAGGTGGAAGGGGAGCGGCGGTACGGTAGGCGAACGTCACGGGTTGAAGAAGCTGTGTTTATTTCATCACCCCACTCCCTCTCTCTCTCGCCCTTGTCGGGTCAACTCCCCTCTCTCTCTCTCTCTCAATCAATATACTCTCTGCTTTCCGATTTACTGTGTGTCTTGGTTCAAGTCTATTAAATGTATATTATAATAAAATTTCAAGCAGGAAAAAATATATTCCCTCCTGCCTTTTGAAAATAATTTTTAATTTAAAATATAAAATACTTTATAATAATTAAATTATTTATTATTTTATTTTTTAATTATATAAAAATATTTAGTATAATTGTATCATTATTTAAAAGTTAAGAATAAAAATAACAGTGATACATTTTATTTTTTATCATATAAAAATAATTTTTTAAAAATTGCATGAAAAGATTGGAAATATGGTACGATAAGGACCGGAGGGATTATTTCATAGTTAAATAATAAGGGACAAAATTGTCGCTGCCAATAAATGCGTCAATTCCTTGATGAAATTAATAAAAATGTTTGTTAGAAAATAGAAATACAATTAGTAAAAGTGTTTGTTAGAAATAAGAATTTAATGTTATTAATTGACATTTTACAAAGTGTCATAGGTTTTGGATTAATATTAACGTGCAGAAAATATCATATATTTTTGGATGGGAAAGAATAACTCCTTGATGAAATTTCTCTCCCCCCCTTTAGCCCACTTTGATTACTATTATTATTCTTATTATTATTCATCAAAGCAACCTGTAACCAGAAGTCATGTATAGACACCGATTAATTTGTAATCCAGCTGAAATCTAAAGCATTTAATTTGTATCAAAGGTTTGAATTCAAGATCACTTATCGATTACCACAACTAATTCATTAGTACTTTGATTAGTTTTTGGTAATAGTATGGTATTTAGATAGGAAAAAAACTTCGTGTAATAAATATTTCCAACGTAAGAGTCCTATCCATTTCGCTGACTGAAAGTAATTATAAGAAAAAAATATTAAAAAAATGCTTAAATCTGATTTTGTATCCAAGTGATACTCAAATCTGTCTAATATGATACTATTTCCATAATAATATTGGATATCGTATATTAATGGGAAAAAAAAAAACTTATATAATCCGAAGAAGAAACCTGGGACATTTAATGCAGCTCTATGTGGTAATGTCACGCACTTGGCTCCGCTCTTCACCATCAGGCCATGTAACTTAAAATGCTCTAAACTTCATTTATTTGTACAAAATAATGACAGGACTAATAAAGTTGATCTACTGGGATGCATGTGATTGAAAGTTCAAAGTCAAACTAGTATATATTAGTAAATATAAGTCTGCCTCAAATCATAGGGATTTACATGCACACGCTAGGATCGTCTCTCAAAATTGAGGAAGAGGTTTTAAAAAAACAAAAAACTGAGGAAGAAGCAGCTTGCATGCATGGGAATCGCACAATTATATATTAATCAACTTGCACAAGTTTAACGGTACTCATATGCTTCTATTTCGAAATGCGAGGCTTCTAAATTCTACTATGTTTAGGCATTTCGGATTCCTTGAAAATATTTTAAATTAAACACTGGATATATATATTATATATATATAAATTAACATGATGCAGAAAATTAAACTATCTATGATAGGAGGACTTTTGAAATGAATGTATATCATATACAAGTGTGATGTGACGAACAGAACACTTCAATAATTTGCCACGAGTCAAATTATAGTTGGATAGAAAGCATATTTCTTATAATCTTAATTACAGAGTAAAGTAATAGATCAATTTTACAGTTCTTATTACCACTACTACTATTATTACTATTGCTATTGCTATTACTATTCTTGCTGCTGCTCCTCATCCTTCTCTGCTACTACTATTTGTTGTTGCTACTACTGTTATTGTTGCTGCTACTTTTCCATATGCATATATATATATATATATATCCAAACAAAAAATTTTAAAAAAATATATTCTATTTTATTGATTTTAATTTGGAGATATCTCAATTTGCCATAGTATTTCTTATAATAGAGCTTGTTATAACTAGACACTTTCCGGTCTTATTCATCGGGATAGAAATAAAAAAAATAGTCTCATTTATGAGTCACATAGTTAAATTTTCATTATAAATTAAAAAATTTTATTGTTAAAGTATATATAAATAGGGGCAAAATTAAAAACTTATTAAAATTTTAAATAAAATTAATAAAAATTTTTAAAAATTACCAATAAAATATATTAAAAGTAAATTGTAACTAAGAGGTGTATGAAATATAGTAATAAAGAAACGTAAATATATACGATAATATTTTGCGTATATGTTCATAATCATAGTAAAAGGACATCTACATATGTCTTTTTGTGGGGGGGGGGGGGATGAGGGTAATTGACATTTTAGATCCGAGGATATTTACAGATTAGGCCCAAAACGGTGAGGATGACAGTAACGCAGTAGACGAGACAAAATTGGATTTGTAAGCATGCAAAATATGTACATTTATGAGACTTGGAAAGTAGTCAACTTGTGTCCGAGAATCACAGTTTTTAGGAGCGCATGATCACAAATTTAGACCCCTTGTCATTGGGACACAACCTAATCCACGTTGGCTCATGTCTGATTTTATCTTTAACTTTTTTAGTCATCGACGATCATTCGATATAAAAAAAAAAAAATTCATAAGGAGTGGTTTATCAATTAATTCATTGGTTATATAAACAAGGTGTCTTTTCATGATTTCTATGCAACTTTTTTCCCCCCGATATGTTTCACTGAATTTAGGAGAGGACGGTTTTTGTTTTTATTTTTTCTATATTTTTATCCACATATTTAATAAAATTTAAAAGTTTGACATGTGAATAGAAAGTTTAATTGACTTAAGATTTTCTGGAAAAGTTTCTTTTTTTTGTGAAATAAAAATACAACTTAATAAAACTTGAATATTTTGAAATTAAATGCTTATATTTTTTAAATAAGAGGGATAAAAAAAGATGAAATAGTGCCGGGAGAGAGGGAGCTAAGTATAATGTCAGACACTCTTGAATTTAATCTCTACATGAAGCCTATAAGATATTTTTAGAAGTAATGATTCATGTTTCAAAAGTCAAAATATAAGAAATTTTAATAAAAATAAAATTTTATTAACTAGTAACTTGTTTTAATTTTGACAAAATTATACTTGTTCCAATTATACTACATTAATTGTATTTGTTTTAAAAATAAAGTTTATTAATTATACTTATTTCAATTTTGACAAAATATCTACTTCCTCCGTTAAAAGATATAAGATATTTTTAACTGAATCTCACTTTTTAATAAAGTAGTTACCTACTTTTCAACTAACCATATCTTTTTATATTTACCCCTTTTAAACACCCTACAATAAATATAGAGTCATTATTAATAAAATAAATATTTTTTAA